ATTTCCCCACCATCACTAACTGTGACCCAGCTGCATCTCTTCACCCACCTGCCATGCTCTCCCCAAGCCCTTCTTTCCCATCACACCAGCCCCATGCCCAGCCAGCAAGCTGGAGCCTGGAGCTGTGCTGCCGGCCGTGCATGCTGGAAGTGCATGTCCTCCCACGGTCTAACACCTTGGCACAGGGGCTGGTGTCAGGACAATTTGGGGCACCCACGGCTGCCGCGGTGCTCGGCAGTGAGCCACCCTCATGACCAGGACCTGCCCCTTCTGTGCAAACGCACAGGTGGGCCCCTCTGCAGCTGCTGCTCTGAGGCACCACCGCCCTGTCAGCCACACCTGTACCCCAGCGGGGCACGGCACGGCCTGCAGTTAACGCGTTAGGCCACTGAGGCTGCAATTCCTCTTACTGAACCCCGGCTTTCTAAAGGTTAGAGATCTAGATACTGATCTGTTCCCTTTCCAGCTAATGGAAGGAGACAGGAACAGCTGTGCTCAGAGCCGAAGCTCTGGGTGGACCTTATCACCCTCTGAAGGTGTCTGCCCTCCACCTACAGGGACATCAGCTGGGTAACACTAACTGCATGTGGCATTGCCAGGTCATGAGAGTTTGCAGAGACAGAGCTTGACTTTAATGTGCACCAAAATGATTACAGCGTTAACAGAACCTTTCTCGGCAAGCCAGTTGCTCTATGTAAGAAAAGATCTGTGCATAGTTCTCCCAGCATCCCGTCCTAATATTTCAAATTTCTTTTGTAGAGATTATGAGATGCAAGAGCAATACAAACAAAATGTGTTCTCAATGATGAAGAAATACTGTTGTTAGAAGCTAATGAAATAACTTTCTAAACCATTTTGCACCAGTTTTCCAATAGCCCAAGCCCACACTGAGCTAACTCAAAAGGTCTATAAATACCGATTTGTGAAAATGAATAAAATAAATAAAGTCACACTAACATTATCTGAGCAAAATTAAAGGTGGAACCAAGAAAACTAAAAGCAGATTATTTGCGTTTCTCAAGGTTATTGCTGGAAGTATATTTATAAGTACAAAGGGGAAATTGAAATGGATATTATTCATAAATCAGAACATTTAAAGTACTATTATGTAAGTGATTTCATTGCATATTGATCCACTTAAAAGCCATATAGCATAGAATAACAGTGCTCTCATCATATGAAGTGCTTTGTAGTAAATAAGTGAACCACTGAGTAAATCCATCTCATTCATAACTTGCACAGAAGCAGATAAAGGTAATCAGTGGAACAAAAAACATCACCTAAATCTGTCAGTGTTCAATATAAAGTTCTCGTATGGTGCCAAATTAAACTTTCTCAATCTTTTTTTCTTGTCACTACTCTCTGATTCTTTATGTTAAAGAAGTATCTGAATAGAAAGCCATTTCTATTTTATTTACAAATAAGAAATAATTTGAAATTTGATTAAATACATTTCATCAACTAGCACATCTGGTACCAGGATGTGATTGTGAAGCCCTTCCAGTATAGTGAATAACTTTTAAGCTCTTTTTTTTGGAGAAAAAAGTTACTCACTTGCTTTCTAGCACTAGCATTTGCTTTTTACAAATACACTTTCTGTAGCTTATTATTCTGTGATGGAGATGTTTTGACTGATCTCACAGTTCTAAAAGTCAGTGAAAAACCTCTGTTTCACTGAAGTGGAAGCCTTGATCAGACACTGCTTTTTCTTCTTAAAGCTGAAATAAATATAGAAGCATGTCTCAGTACGTTTAGATCAACCTTTTCTTCTGCTCGTGAACAAAGAACTCAGGAGTGGAGGGAGAAGATGAGGGCCTTCTCTGGGACAGGAGAGAAAGGCAGGGGAAAAAAAAAGAATAAAAACCCCCATAGTTTCTCCTTAGAATCCTTAGAAGACCAATTCTGCCTCCCCCTTTGTGTTTTGTGGATGGAGGATTTTGAGCTGATTGGTGACAGAGATGGGCTAGCACAAGGGCCATTTAATGAGATGAGGAAAAATACTTCCATATCATTTGCCTTTTCCAGGGGCTAATCAGTACTGTCTTCTGAGACAACATGACTATGTTGATCCCTGTTACAAGAAGACTATTGCTGCAAAAATGTTCAACAGACAAATATTTCAGAATATACGTTGTCAATTTGTATGACTCAAATCTTTCTTGGCAAAATCTCACTGGGATTTGCTTGATCCTGAAAATGCCGTTTCCAGCTCTAGCTCAGCAAACTCATACCAGACACATACACCTCTGAGCAGTCCCATGTATCAGAGTAAAGGTTTTCAGCATGTTGCAAAACTCATCCCTAGCTGTTTCTGTTCCAGTAACTTTTCTGTATTTT